TATATATATACTTTCTCTCCAATGGTCTTTTCCCTTTCGCTGTTTATATGTGCTTCCCTTCCGCTCCTGTGTCATTCTTTCTTTCTTCCTTTACTCCACCTTTGCAGGAGTCACACGTAATATCAGGGAAAGGGACAGCACAGGTATGCTTCGACGACTCTCTCTCTCCATCGAGGCCATGGGCGCCGTGCGCACCATCGTCGTGTTCAGCCAACAGCACCACATCCTTGAGAGCAACCAGAAAGCCCGCAGCAGCCCCAGCAACGTCTGGATCGAGGACTGGGAGGTGGAAAACCACGGACTTTCCCCTGAGCCTGGTGCGGTGCCGACGCAGCTGCTCCTGGACAAGCCGCTGGAGCTCTTCAATTTTGATCAGCTCCTTTCCCCTCCAGAGGTGATGGAGGCGCCGAGACACAGCAGCTACAGTTCCCGAAAGATGTACGGCGAAAAGCTGCAGTTTGAGCTCAATGACCGTGCCCAGAAGCACGGATTTCAGAGCAAATGGTGGCTGACGCGGGCGCAGGCCATAAAGAACTCGCTCACCTTCAAGGGCAATGCGCGTAGCTCCATTATCTTGACGAAGAGCTCGCTCAAACTGTTTCACTCCAGCCAACTCATTGGTGGGGAAGCCTTAATGACACACCCCGTCTCTGGGGGGTCGAGGAAGCTGTACAGCAAGAAAGGCGAGGCCTACCAGATCCTCTGTGATCACATCCGCCAGAATAAATTTAACAGTGGCCTCCACTTCACGACGCGCCAACTGGAATTCTTTAAGCTTGTGGTGCAGCCGAACCAAACTCCAGTGACGCTTGACGTTTCCTCTGGGGAACGGTACCTCATCTTCAATGTGGAGCAGCTCGAGGACCCGGAGCTTGCGCTCAAGACACTCGATCGCTCTCCTGTGAACATCCCAACATTCCTCCTCTCTGGCGAGCCAATCCAGCACGAGAGCATGAAGAAGCTTCCCAAATTTAAGAGCAATTATTGGCTGAGTGGCCGCGACGCCGAGCTGTACCAATGGCCAATTAAGGAGTCGGAAAAGAGAAAGGGTGTGCCGCTGCGCAATGAGGGGGCAGCCTCTCTGCAGGTTGAGCTGTACAACGTGGAGCAGCTTAGTAACCCAGAGGAGGCCTTCGCCAAGGCCGGTCTCTTCGTCCAGTAGGAGCGGTGAGACAGGAGGAGCAAAGAAGACCGCATTATATATATATATATATATATGCCCATATAGATGGTGAGAAGACACGCAGCAGCAGCATCAGCATCAGCACAAGCGCACTCACACACAGCTGCCGAGCACAATAAAGTCATGTACACACGAAAAATAGGCGTAAAGATATACACACAAGCACGAAACGCGCGCTCACGTTTCCACGGAATAATAACGAGAACAATCTGCAACGATGGAAGGACAATGCGAGGCGGAGGGAAAGAGATGGGAGGTAGACGGAATCGGATGAGTGCAGCTTGGATTCTTCCACTCTCACTCTCTTGTTCTTCAAATCCATCCAGCCAAGGGGAGGGAACTATTCGACACAAGAAGGAAAAGGAAAACCAAAACGAAATGAGCCAGCCGTATATACGCGCACACATGCACACGTATTTAAATTGAATCTTATCTATAGAAGAGGAGAATGAGAGGGAGGTGGGGATGATAAAGTGGGCCGTGTGCCGCACATACACATTCACGCGAGACATGAAGAAGACACTGATTATAGGCATGCTGAAAGAAGGGGAAAGGCTAATGACGGCACATTACTCTCTTCTTCCTTTCAATCGCTTCTCTCTCTGACTTTCCGGACTTCGCCGGCGTTACTCTTCTTTATTTCATTCCGTTTCGCGTTTATTTTTCGGCGTCAGTAGTTTGTTTATTTGTGTCGGCATGCGTGTGTGTATGTGTGTGTAGAGGAAAGGGTTTCCGTTTCATTGTTTTTTTTTTTGGGTTGTTGTTGTTCTCGTTTCTACCGTTTGTAGGTGCGCGCACATTGGTATGTGTGTGATTAACAGCACGCTCAGCATAGAGTGAATCCACCGGGAGCATGTCCTATCTTCGTGCATGCGCCTCCACAGTCATTTGTGTTAACCGCACAGGAGTCTGTGTGGAGGTGCGTTGTTCTCATTCACGTTTTTTTTTGTTTGGTTCGGGTTCTACTCCGTTGAGTGAGTAATTGTGTGTCTCTACGCGTGTGTATGTGTGCATGATGTGGGGAAGGATGCAGCAGCCTCAGTTTGTGTTATTGCGGCTGCTGCTGCTGTTGTTGTTGTTGTTGTTGTTATTTGATGTTGCTTGCGGAGTGTGAGGCGGGATGAACATAGATGCGGTGGCAAGAAAAGGAAAGCGCGGTCATATTTACATAAAGAGAGAGTGATGGGGAGGGGGGAAGTGGGAGGGAGAGCGAGACGGAAAAGATTGTGTGTGTGTGTNGTGTGTGTGTGTGGGGGGGGGAGAGAAGTAAATGTATGTGTGTAGACTCCATCTTTTTCGTATTCCTTCACTTGCGGCTCCGTTTCTCCATTGTTTTCGTTTATGCTTCGCGTGCGAATTCATGCGCACAGTTGTGCCGCACCGCCGCCTCTCTCGCCTGCCGCCGCGGCGTCGCGGTCGTTTCGAAGGCTGCAGCACAACTGTGGCGTTGCAGCCCTCGAAGTGATCGTGCCGATGTGTGTGTGTGTGTGCGGCTGTCCGTCTGCACGCACTGCCGCTCCCCCTGCGCTCCTCTCCGCGGAGGACGGGGGGAGGGCGCGGCGCACTCGCACGGCGCCAGCGGCACAGCGGGGAAAGGCACACAAAACACAAGAAAAAAAAGAAAAGAAGGGAAGATGCATTCGTCGGATACGTGCATGCGTAAGTAACGGTCTCTGTCGTAGTCTGTCTGTGTGTGTGTGTGTGTG